GACCGTGTAGTCTGTGTCCTGGGCTGCGAGGGATTCACCAGTGGCCGACACTACTGGGAGGTGGAGGTGGATGGAAAGACTGACTGGGACCTGGGAGTGGCGAGTCATTCCTGCAACAGGAAGGGTAAGATCACAGTCAGCCCCAGCAACGGCTACTGGTTTCTTAGCTTGCGGGACAAGAACAACTATGCCTTCAGGACTCAGCCTTCCACTGCCCTACCCCTCAGACTGAGACCTCAGAAGATAGGGCTGTTTGTGGACTACGAAAAAGGCCAGTTGTCCTTTTATAATGTGGACGCTAAGATGCACATTTACACATTTATGGACAACTTTTCGGAGACCATTTATCCATTTTTCAGTCCCTGTACCAATAAAACAGGCACAAATGATGCTCCGCTGGTGATCACGCCTGTCCTTCTGGATTGAACAGTGAAATGGAAACTTTTTATGAGCAAACATATGATTCAAAATGTTGTTTACGTTCATTTTTTTTGCCTTGTACAGTAAATGATTTATCTGCTGCCACATTGGCACTTCATTTTCATTGATAACATAAAGAGCTTGGATCACTAGGATGATCATACTTCCAGGTTTTAGCTTGCTGTCTACAGTCCTCATACATTATATGTACAATGCCTGCATGCTACTGGTTAAACTTCCTTTCAGTCATTACCGTCAGCAAATATGAAAACAATAAGAAAACAAAGCCAAATCCCCAAAATTTTTAGGCAATTTAGAAATCCTGCATGGCCAGGACATGTCCAGGAAAAAAAAGGGGACTTGGTAACTCTACTTTCAGTGCTCAAAGTCTTTTTATACCAACAAAAATGCTAATTTACCTCAACAGGAGTTTTTAATTAATCTTCTCTTCAGGAAGGAAAGACTAAAATAATACAGTAGGCTATATGTTTCTTAAACAAGAATGCACTCCAATCCACTAAACAATGAATAGCCATACTTTTCAGGCATTAAAGAGAAAATGAATACTTTAATACAAGATGAATATTAGTAAATTCATGTTGTTTCGTTTGTAAAATTGCTTCATCCACTGTTGCAGGCCTATACAGTTAATTTGGTCTGTTTCGAAATGTAGCCTAATTCTCACACACTGCACCGACGCGTTTCAGAAAGGCGGGGCATAGAGGAGAAACAATAATGTACAGTATGTGGAAAATAATGTGTTTTTTTAACCTTAAACCGCATAAACACATTTCATTACACCAAATACACCAAATAATGTTCTTTTTAGCAGCATCATATGACCCCTTTAAAGTTTCTGTTATGATGAGTGTATTTGAACACGAGGAAATAAACATTACAGTGTCAGATGGCAAGTTTCTGCAGGTAATTTCTTACTTTATAACATCCCACCCTTTCTCTCTCTTTCATATACCTTAGTACCAAGACTGGGCCCTATTTCCCAACAGTGGAGTGAGACTAAAGTTATACTGCTTACTCTTACATAATACCATTACAACCACCTCGTGTCTGTTAATGACACTTTAATCAACACTAACTGTCTTTACATTGTTGTTTTTACAGCTCTAGGTAACTCCCAAACCAAATCCTAACGGTATTTTCTGTCTGTGCATCGTTCGTGTTGCAGCATGTCAAAAAGTAACTGTCAGAGAGAAAATACCCGAGGGCTGACTGGAGACGGCGAGGCTGCGTTTCCTCAACGCGCCGCCAGGTGGCAGACCTACTGGTTTTAGAACTGCACTTTTTTGCTAACGTTTCCTAACGCAAACACGTGGTTACATTCGCCTTCGCCATCTATCCAAACGGCCCTTTTATGACTTATTGGCATATAAAACTACATAACGCAAACTTCACAGATGCTGACCTGCCAAGAGATGCCACTGCCAATCTGTTAGACTGATCCATATGGAACATAAGGGAGACCAAGGATAGTCACAAAAGCAATATCTCAGTATCTATTGTTCTGTATTTATTTGTCGTTTTATTGTTTAAATTTGTCTGAAAAGCATATAATAGAATACTTAATGGCAGTTTCCATTGTGACAACATGGCCCAATATGCATGAAAATTCCTTTATATTAACACAGTACATTGCGGCTTTTTTACTGACTTTTTTTGGGGTGTTGTTTTAAATTGTATTTAATAAATCCTTTTTGTTTTTCTTGTTCTCTGGCACCAGCTATTTCTGTGTTTTATGTTTGATATTATCACTTCTAAAACATGACTAAAACTAATTTAATACTTGCATCTGAAATTAGTGCAAAAGTTACTTATGTAGCATCTGTAAATGTCATTTGAATTCAACAAATATGTATGTGCATGAAATGGGCATTCAAGGTCTACTATAAGGAAAATGAATAAAAATATGAATTGTGGTCAGAAATTAACCAGAGCTTGAGCAAAAATACCCAAAATATTTCAAATGTAGTAGCAAAAATGCTCTGTGGTAAATTCCTTTATTTTTATTTTTGAATACTTGATTTATGTCACTGATATTTTGTGCTCAGTTGATATATTCAGTTCCGAAAAGTGCTAAACTACTGTAGCTGTGCTTATATTTACTGCCTCAGAAGTGTATGTTTTTGAATGTGTAGCTAACATGAAATATAATTTCATTAAAATAATTTAATTAAAGCTCTGAAAAAACAGACAACACTAAAAAAGTTTTTTAAAAACTCCTAAAATGAGAGCATAGACAGTATATACATAGAGACTAACCAATTATTTTTTTAAATGCAAGCAGAGCCCTTACTAGTTTTACATTTCCTTATTCATTCCCTTAGTCCCATAGTTGTCATTACTTAGCTACTTTTTTTCCATTTTAATTTGATGACTACCAGCTAGCCTATAATGATCTTCATAATGAAAATTACTTTATTTAATTGATTCATTAGAAGTCTGGTTTGAAGAACACTGGTTTGAAGACAATATGCCCTCATAAGGTAAAAGAAAAATGCATCAAAACAATTCCACGTGGCAAATGCTGCCACTTAATAATGAAGGAAAAAAGATAGCGATGAGAATAAATAGCTACACTCTAAAAAATGCTGGGTTAAATATAACCCAGCGCTGGGTTAAAAAGGGACAAACCCAGCTATTGGGTTGTTTTGACCCAGCTGCTGGGTCAAAACCACCCAACCGCTGGGTCAAAACAACCCAACTGCTGGGTCGAAACAACCCAATAGCTGGGTTTGTCCCTTTTTAACCCAGCATTTTTTAGAGTGTATAAAGAATTCCAGGAAGTTCAACAGATGATTATTAAGAAAAAATGGCATCATGTGAACTTTAAGTTTTATCATGGCAGAAATCACAGGTGTAACAAGCCAAGCAGGAACGTACAACTGACATGACATAAAAAAAAAAAAAGCAGAATGAGAGAGCTTGTGTGTGAGATGACTATTACCATATTTCAATGGTAGCGAACATTCCTCACTAATACACTGTAGAATGTGGATCTGTGAGAAGAGTTTTTCCAAACTACCTTTTCAGACCGCAAATCGATTCTGGTCAACAGGTGTGACGCACGCTAAAGTCATGTCACACAAATACTGTGACAGTAATACATGCTGGTCACAACTCCACCCAGCTGTGGAAAAAACCCATAGCTTTAGTAAAAGTCACTACCAGTCATTCCTATGGCTTAGAAGTGAATGAAGCAAAGCAGGCTCTGAGCAAGACGAGAAGAAGAGAAATGGGGGAAGGGATGGGGTGATTGTCAGAGAAATGGTCGTAGCAGGCTGTCTATCAGGTTGAGCTTGAATGTACTGACTCTTGCCCTCCTGCCAGCTCTACTTGCATGGCAGCCAACGTCTCCGTCTTTGAGACCTATGTTTGTAACAGTAAGGTTACAGTATGGGACTTCCGTCTTGGGGCTGAACTAATTTATAAAGGCTTGTAGAATGCAAGGCCTGCAGAGTCTGGAAACGTTGACTGTATTGTCACTTATAGATCCCTAAAAGTTTAAAATTGTGATAATTTCTCAGATTAAGTATTAAAGAGCATTTTTAGTGAGGGAAGGATGGAGAGGCTGATAAAAAAAACAAAAAAAACATTAAGCCTAATGTTCAGCCTCAACCACTCCAACAGCCCAGACAGCATACCTGTCATTCTGCACACCTAACACTCCTTCTTTCACTCAAAGTCTTTCTCTTTCTCATTTGTGCTATCATGTCTTCATCTTTCCGCCTGTTTGCTTTTTTTTTTTTTTTTT